TGAAAAATAATTATTTTAATAATAATTATATTTTATCAATTTTGAAAATAAAATTACAATCGCTAACAATTTATCCTGTTTATAACCAATTTCTAATGATTAAAAATACCGTTTTATTTAAAAAATGAAAAATTATTATCATTAATTAGAAATAGGGGGTAAAAATGTAATGTTATTGATGGGTATTTAAGGTCGAACTTTAAAAGAGTTAATTCATTAAATGATTAGTCTAGTACTTGTATTAATTACACTCTCATTTGGAAGGAAATGCTATTATTACGAACTCTATCAATCTGAATCACTTGTAGATACTATTGATAGTGCATTTGAATGTATTGAAGAACCAACAATTTCAAAAGATAATAAAAAATCAGTGATTAATCGTTTGAAAAGGAACTTAGAATCATATGTATAAAAAGATATATTGAAAAATCCACCAACTCAAACTGGTACATATTATTATAAAAAAGTGGATATTGATAAAGAAATAGATAAAATAAATATGGTTGAAGGAAGTTTATATGAATTTTATTCAGAAATTCAAAAATTATTTATTTCAGCGAAAGATCCTTTGTTGTCATTTGCAATATTACAAAAAGATGAGATTTCGATAAGAAATTATATTGCTTATTTTTATTATTTCCTTCCTTTTAATATTATGATAGATAAAGAAAAACATATGTATCTTATTCCTAAATATTATTACAAAAATCTAAAGATTGATGTTCCAACAGAAATAGAAAACAATAAAAATAATCAAGTTAAATCAATAAATGGAAAAGATCCATTTGAAATTATTAGAGAATTTGGAAAGAAGTATAGCCCATTTAAATCTCCTCATGCACAATTTACAAATTCTAAATCTTCTATTCTTGATAATTCATTTACTCAAGGAAAATTACTTTTATTACCATTATCAAAAGAATATTTAAATACACCAATAACAATTACATGGGAAAATGGTGAAAGTGTTGATGTTCAATATAAAATGTTCAGTACATCAGATTTTTATTCTGTTGCAGAAGATAAAAATCTTCTAACAACAAAAGAAATTGATTCAGACACAGATGATATAAAAAATGAATATGGTGATTTAAATGATGACGTTTATTGTAAAGTATCTAATAACAATATTAACACTCTTGTTATTAATCACTTTGCGATATATAAGGACTTGTACGTACTTCAAAAATGTATAGAGTTGTTTGATTCAAACGAATATCCAATTCAAGTTATTCTTCCCGAGAATAAAGGTGGAGATAGTTATTTTGATGATGAATTAGGAATATGGATTCAAAAATTATTAGCACCAAACTATGATGCTGACTTAATTTCATCAGCAAGGAAATGTGATTATACAGGATACAAAATAGAAATGGGTTACATGGGAGAATATGTTGACCCAAAAACATGTATGAAAAGAACGTTGTATCATGAAAATGAAGCACAACTGGAAAAATGTGCGAGTAAAAATGTTCAGGAGTTATGGGATTACTTAACATTTTCAGAAAGACTCTTTTGGAATTTGTCAAAAGAATATAGGATGAAACATTGCCATGACATATTAAATAGATGGTATACAAAACCGAAAACTATTAAATATGGTAGTGTTAAACATGTCATTACTCAACCATCAAGATTTATTGCAGAACCACCAATTCAACAAATGAAAAATCCAAGAAAACCAACAGAAATAGTAGTTTATACAGATTCATATTGTTATTCAACATGTTCACTTCTTACAAAAGGATTAAAAGAATGGGGAGGAGCTATTATTGTTGGATTTAGTGGTGATCCTAATGGTAAAGATGATGAATTTGAAGTAGGACAATCACCGTCAATTCATAACACATTCGATGAAGAATATAATCAAAAAGGTTTACAAAATACCGTGTGGCGATTTTCTTTCCCTTATAGCTTTTTAGAAACATTTAGACATAATTATAATTATGATGAAAGTATTCCTAGAGAATTCTTAACAGATGTAGTAGATGAAAGAGTGAATATTTATCAATTTGATAAAACAGAAGAAGCAATAAGTGAATTTGAAGAAGAAACAAAGAAGATAATAGAGAAATATCAAACAAAATGTAATCCAAAGAATAAAAGAATAGTTAAAATAGATAATAAATGTGATAAAGAAATTAATAAAGAGCATGGACATGGAGGATATGAATGTGGAGATAAAGGAGAATGGAGTACAAAATGTGTACTTGCCTATTGTGATGAAGGATATAAATTTGATTATAACAGTAATCAATGTATTGAAGATGAATGTGTTTTTCCACCAAGACCAAATCTAAATAGTGGAATGCCAATAATGACAGTAAACCTAGTCATGATAATAATTGGAATAATCACATTAATTCTCTAATTGAAGAAGGTTTAATTTAAAATATAATTTTGGTTTAATAAAACAAACATAAACAAGAAGAAAATAAAGAATGAAGAGAATAAATTAATGATAAACATAACTTTGTTTTAAATTTTGTATTGAGTTATATAATAAATAAAATGATGATATTGTGAATATTAAATTAATAATTGTATTTATTTTAATTGAAATAAAAATGAATATTTCATAATATTTAAATGAACGTATTATAATTATAACAAATATTGATACTATAATATCAGTTATATATTTAAAATATACATTGATGTAATGTATAATAATGGTTATAATTATTTCTTTACCATTTATTTGAAATGATTGAAATATAAAACTTAAAACATTAAAATATAATCAAATTAATAATTTCATTATTTTCATTCATTTCTTATTAATTTAAATAATTCTCTTATTATTTATTCTTCATATTCTTCATTATAATTTAGTACTTTTCTATTTTATATATTTTATGATTAGTTTTACGTTCAGAGTAAATTCCTTGATTAACAACATATTTATTATTTTCTGTAACAACAATTCATAAGTATTTATTAATATCAATCTCATCAAATGGTCAATTTCTTTTAAACATTATTTTAAGTTTGAGTAGATTGAAAAAAATTAATTGATAATTCTTTAACTCTTTCCAATCCACTCGCTTGTTGTTTTACACTGTGTTAACATAAAATCTAATATATTTATTCAAAAATAGTGTATTAATACCCATTAGTAATTAAAATGTCTATATTTGATACATATTCTACTTTCTGTATTGTGTTTATTTTCTAATTCACCTATTTCTATTTTGAGTTTACATAATAAATCTTGATAATCATCATGTTTTAAACTCTCTGTTATCTTTTTAATATTTTTATGTGAATTGTCTATGTGGATATCTTTTTGTAATATCTGTGGTTTTTCATCTGACCTTTTTTAAATCTTTTATAAAATTTTCTAACATTTAACTTTCAATAAATGTTATTGTGTATTTTGTGTTATTTACAATAATTTTACATCAACTTAATGTAATTCCAAGAATAGTTTCTGTATTTGTTAAATACAATTGCATTTAACTGCAAATTGATTAAGTATTTTCCTAAGAATTATCATTAATTTAAGTTCTTCAAATAATTTATCACTAAAAGTTCTTCTTTTTTTGAAAAATAATAATTTACTCTATTAATAACAAAACAACATTGTAACATTCTCCATTCATTTAATGTTAGTTGAATTACTTACTCATCTTTTTATAGTACATCAATTAATATTTTGAATTTATAATAAACTTTTGTATGAAAACACTCCTTCAAATAC